TGAATGCCACAAATTCTCCTAAATCACTCGTACGCATAATTTAAGAACAAATCTGTGCGTACGAATGGTTCTTGCATGAGGCCCAGTGTATCTATTCTTTAGAACACTATCGTGATCAACCATGCTATTTAAGAGGTTGTGAAAATGTGTTGGTAGCTGAAGAAAGAAAGAAATTGAACATCCCCAAAATACTTTCACACTTATGTGACACACACACACAAACACATCTTGCACATTCACCCACACATTCCTGTTTTGAAACAACAAATGAAGAGCATCTCACTGCCAAAGATGGGTGTAGCCAAGTTCTCCACACGTGAGACGGTGGAGGGCAGGCCGGCTATGAGGCACACAATCCCGTCAAAAAAGGTCGAGTGAGGGGCCACGGCTAGAATGGGGGCCTCGCTGCTGCCGACCTGCTTACCCTTGACCACCACTCTGAAACCCATGGAGAAGAAGTAAGCCCTCCCCAGGGCGGCCATCACACTCTGACACATGAACCTAGAGTTGGAGAAAAAAAAAGAAGTAAATAAAAAAAGAAGAGAAGTGCTCAAGTAACAGGAAGAGTTACACTAAAAGCAGATAGAAAAGTTATCTCAACCATTTGCTTCCTTAAAAACTTTAAAGAAGTAGGAAGTCGTGGTGCATTGCCAAACACTGAGGTGAAATAATGAATGGCAGCRTGGAAGATTTTATTTGTCCAGAGATTACAAAGACCATGAATATTTAAAACTGCATTATTCCCACACCATGGAGCAGGTGGCTTAAAAACATGTCAAACCGATTTTACAGCAGAAAAAAAAAAAAACTGCACTTGGTCATGACATTGTGGCTAACACATGATCTTTTTTTTCTACACACAGGGTACAGATTCAAATCTTGTGCTGTAGGATAAAACATGCTTCAATATCAAACACCTCACATTTGCTTTTTAGCTTTTTTAGTCGTACAAGGTTCAAAGTAGCCAATATGACACAAGAAGCTTCAGATACATTTACTAGTCTGGGATGTTAAAAGCTAACGGGAATAAATGATCATGGCAGCCAAATGTGATTGCAAAATGTAGAAAGCTAAAAGTTGGGCATGGAGGCGGTGGGGGGATTCTCAACACTCATGTATTTTTGAAAGTGTTGAGAACTTGAACAACCCTGAGAATATTCAAGCTTGCAACTGGCACAACAGTCAATGAACTTGAGAAGACAAGCTCTCCTGTTGCTTCTAATCGTATTCACCAAGCCGCGTCGTGATTATTTAGGATGTGGTTACGAGGTCTGCAGGAAGCGGCAATTGCTGCGTTTTTCCCACATGGTGATGGAATAAATTTACTGTCTAACTATGACCAACGTGACAAGAGAAAACATTCTAATAATCACCAAAATTCTAATGCAATTGTCCAATATAACAGTCTAATTATGTACAAGAGGTTCTCAAGGTTTTAAGACCGCAATAATACTCATCACTATTTCCTTTCTGAGAAATGTGGGGAGCCAAGGTCATGCTTGTGGGGCAGATACAATCTTGCAATGCATKACTCAGCAGAAAGCACATTTTTCAAGCAATGTCAGGGTTTAATATTTTTGAAAGTCTGCAGCCTTGTTCTGTCACTTTTTTTATGCATTTGCAAAAACCAACTTTGTCAGTTTCTTCTTGGCTCAGTTAGACGCTCGATTTAAACTGTTTAACGCAACACATTTTKTAAAATTTTAAACTGATGCATTTCTTCACTGGCAAACCGAATCAGTTATTCTGCAGGCCCTGTTTCTCAGTTAGGAATTAATGATACACTGATGGTCAGTGGAGTGTTTACACCAGGAATGGAAGCAAAATATATGCAAATAAACTTTACTCTTTAAAAAATTTAACAAAAATTATCACCTCCTCGGGTAATCTGTCATGTTTCAAAAAGAGTTTCTCCCGGTGCACTTTCATGAAGGTGACTAAAACAAATATGTTGCATGATTAATACCCTTGCGTGACATTTGATGATGATCTTTATACCTGCAGGCCACCAGTTGGGAGCATTTGCATGTGCACTGTTGTGCAACAGTACTCAACCCATCGTACCGTAACATATTTCCTAAAACTATCTAAACACTGTATTAGACTATGATTTTCAGTGCTTCTCCCAGATAACACGTGTTCATGGGACAAGTGGTACACTGTATGTAAAATCTGGTTTATTTTAGCAAATATGTCAAGGTAGATGAGCAGGATACAMAGGTGTCTTTAGAGGTAGTCTGCAGATGGGTAAACTTTATAGGGTCCTAAGAAGAAGTGGGATTGCGTTTGTTTGTATTACCGTCTCCAGCCCGTCATTGGCTCCACTGCTCCCTTTAGAGGATGMTTAAAGGTTATTATGACTGACACAGGCCAGGTCACCATCAGGACCAATGACATGAGGACAGCCCGAAGAGGGACCAGGATGATTCCAAACAAGACACACTGTATTAAGAGAAGAAGAGAGTGTGGGTGGGTGCCATAAACACACACACACACACACACACACACACACACACACACACACACACACACACACACACACACA